TGGGGCTGATGTCAGAAGTACAGGAGGAGACTTCAGAATTGTTACTAGTCACAGTACACCTTTGCAGGATGTGCAGTAAGGAGAATCTGTTTAGCAGTGTAGATTTATTACCCTGAGAGCTTTTTGGCATCCCAGCCAGCACTGAAATTAATCCTGTATACCCAACACAGTCTTCTTCAGGCTGGTAAAGTCCCATTGTGTCTCGTTGGGTTAAAAGTGACAAGATAGCTGTCTGCAATTATGTCCCAAGAATGCATACTTGCTCTGGGTGGATGAAGGCAGAGGATCAGCATGACAGACAAGCAAGCAGCATTTTCAGAGGGAGGTCAATATAAAGTCCTAACAACTATACCTAATAACAGGGATTCTTGGTTCACATATACTGCAATATACACTATATAGCCAAAAGTATTGGTCCCGCCCTCCAAATCATGTGATTCAGGTGTTCCAATCCCCTCCATGGACACAGGTGTATACAATCATCACCTAGGCATGCAGACTGCTTCTACAAACATTTGTGAAAGAATGAGTCGCTCTCAGGAGCTCAGTGACTCCAAGCGTGGTCCCGTGATAGGTTGTCACCTGTGCAATAAGTCCATCCGTGACATTTCCTGGCTACTAAATATTCCACGCTCAACTGTTAGTGGGATTATAACAAAGTGGAAGCAACTGGGAACAACAGCAACTCAGCCACCAAGTGGTAGGCCACGTCACATGACAGAGCGGGGTCAGCGCATGCTGAAGCGCACAGTGCACAGAAGTCGCCAACTGTCTGCAGAGTCAATAGCTAAAGACCTCCAAACTTTGTGTGACCTTCAGATTAGCACAACAACAGTGTGTAGAGAGCTTCATGGAATGGGTTTTCATGGCCGTGCAGCTGATTCCAAGCCTTACATCACCAAGTGCAATGCAAAGCGTCGGATGCTGTGGTGTAAAGCATGCCACCACTGGACTCTAGAGCAGTGGAGACGTGTTCTCTGGAGTGGAAAACCACACTTCTCTGTCTGGCAATCCAATGGACGTGTCTGGGTTTGGTGGTTGCGAGGAGAACAGTACTTGCCTGACTGCATTGTGCCAAGTGTAAAGTTTGGTGGAGGGGGGATTATGGTGTGGGGTTGTTTTTCAGGGGTTGGGCTTGGCCCCCTAGTTCCAGTGAAGGGAACTCTTAAGGCGTCAGCATACCAAGACATTTTGGACAATTTCATGCTCCCAACTTTGTGGGAAGAGTTTGGGGATGACCTCTTCCTGTTCCAACATGACTGCACACCAGTGCACAAAGCAAGGTCCATAAAGACACGGATGAGCGAGTTTGGGGTGGAGGAACTTGACTGTCCTGCACAGAGTCCTGACCTCAACCCCATAGAACCTCTTTGGGATGAATTAGAGTGGAGACTGTGAGCCAGGCCTTCTCCCCCCGACATCAGTGCCTGACCTCACAAATGTTCTTCTGGAAGAATGGTCAAACCTTCCCATAGATACCCTCCTAAACCTTGTGGACGGCCTTCCCAGAAGAAGTTTAAGCTGTTGTAGCTGCAAATTTTATGAAACCACACTTCACAAATATCTCCAGCAACCTGGGAGGTAGGAGTGAAAGGTAGTTAATATTTATAATTCCATCATGCCCCTGACCCTCTGATTCAGCTATTGACCCCTTCCTCATCTGAAGGATATGCAGCAGTAGGAAAATGTCCTGGGAGTTGATTTCCCCTGTGGATTTGTGTTGAAAATAATTTAGACACTACACTCCCACTTCAATGATCCTTACTACAAGGAGCCCTTTAAAGTAGATGTGTTATAATCCTGGGTTATTCAAATTTAGGAAATAAAACATTAGCAAAGATCACCTTCAGTGAAAGTTCCACAAAAAAAATAAGCACCAGCAGATCCAAATAAATAAGCAGCTGAAGCTATATGCAAATCCTAAAGTTTTCCATTAAAAAAAATCAAACTTAACTTTTCACCTTCTTCCTCCTTCTTTAGCATACCTACATATTGGTCAATGAAGCCACCTTATCAGTTAAAGGATCAATGGAGAGGATCAGGAGATAAGAAGATCTAAAACTAATATCAACTCAGTCATAATTTGCACATAACTTAAGCTGCATCTGTAGCCAATCTATTTATTGGCCTGACTGTTTATCATAGTTATCCTCTCTATTAATGCTTTTTTTCTCATATTATGTAAAACTCATTTTCATGAGAATCTTGGTAGAGTTGGAGGTGGAAACTGTATAACTTATATTGGTGAGCGAAGTGCAAAGCGCAATTCCTTCACAGCCACAAGTGACCTGCAGCTCCCCCCCTGACCTGCAGTGGATGTTCTTCTCTCCTTCACTTGATCTCCTGCAGACTTTCAGTTGAGCCTCCTTTTGACCTGCGGATGACCTCCTTCTGACCTTCAGTTGATCCTCCTCACCTGCTTTTGACCTCCTTTTTCACCTTCAATTGTCATTCTACTGTCCTTCAGTTGATCCTCCTTCTGACCTTTGGTTGCTCTCCTTCAGATCTTCAGTTGACCCTGCTTCTCACCTGCAGTTGACCTCCTTTTCACCTGCAGTTGACATTCTACTGTCCTTCAGTAGATCCTCCTCCTGACCTTTGGTTGACCACCTTCTGTCTTTCAGACCTCATTCTGACATTCAGTTGACCCCTTTCTGACCTGCAAATGACCACCTTCTGTCTTGAAGTTGATTTTCTTCTGTCCTGCAGTTGATCTCCTTCTGGCCTTCAATTGATCCTTTTTCCGACCTGCGTTCAATTTCCTTTTGATCTTCAGGTGATCTCCTTTTGATCTTTATTTGATCTACTTCTGACCTTCAGTTGATCCTTCTGTTGACCTGTGGTCAATCTCCTTCTAACCTGCATTTCACCTTCTTCTGTCCTTCAGTTGATCTCCTTCTGACCTTCAGTTGATCCTTCTGTTGACCTGTGGTCGATCTCCATCTAACCTGAAGTTCACCTTCTTCTGTCCTTCAGTTGATCCTCCTTCTGACCTGCAGTTAATCTCACCTTCATTTGATCCTCCTTCTCACCTGCAGATTACCTCCTTCTGACCTACTATTGACCACCTATTGTCCTTCAGTTGACCTCTTTCTGACTTTCAGACCTCATTCTGATGTGCATTTCACCTCCGTCTGACCAGCAGTTGACGTTTTTCTGACAAGCTGTTGACCCCCTTTTGACCTGCATCACACTGGTTCTGCATCCCTATTGACGTTGAGAGAACAGCAGTTCCCACGGGAACAAAAGTCCATGTACACAGGCCCATATGACGGTTTTGAAGAAACAAGGAGTGTCCAGCAGCATGGGATCCATCTATTAGCATCGGATCACTTTAACTTTAGGTTATGTTCACATTAATGTGCATTTGTTTGCGTCCTGTTAGAAGGGATTCTACTTTAATGTCCAGAATTAAGTTCCGTTCTGCCACATGAATTTTTAATTTATTTTAAATTCTGGGGATTGCAACAGGAGGAGTATGAAGACTTCAATGTCGGTGATAACATATATTTGGTGGGAGGGTCTAAAACCAGTAGGTGATTCAAGCCGTATAGCTTGCCATGCATGCAACAATAAGATTGGGCCATCTTTGCACATAACTATGTAATATATAACTTTTAACATGAATGGATATTTGTGGAAGGATGTTGAATGTTTCTTTCCATCCTCATGCACAAATTGTATAGTATCCTTCTGTAGTATTTTTTTTTGAATGACTCTGGATCCCCCTCCCCTATTCCGCTATACCTGCTCTAGCAATTATCTTTTGCTGTTCCCCCGGGGAGTCCGCCAGCAATAATTCAAGCTATCATCTGTCTTCCTTCCGTAGCAAATATTGAATTCTACTGAGTTCACATCCTCTGAAACACGCTGAATATTCACTCTTCCCAGAACACAAGGATTCCTCCAGCAGCGTGCGTGCAGCAACTCCGGAGTGTGCAGAATCAGGGACACCGGACCCAGGCGGGTACGTTTCAGGGACAGGGGGCAGCCTGATGAGAAAATTCCCTGGGCAGTGCTTGCCAAAGTTTGGTCAGCAATGTGCCACCATCACAACCTTTACAATATCCAGTTCTATATCACCCGAGCTTTTGACACATGGGAGATTCATAAGTGTCCTAGATACTCCATAGATGTCCGTCTTTTGGTAATGCGACAAATGCCACAGCAAGCGACAGATTGATGCACATGTTAAAATTATGTATTTTTAATCCATTTCAACTCTGGGAGTACTGTCGCGTGCAACATTCATACGAAGTACTGGACCTTCAAAAGTTGAGTAAACATTTGGAAAGCCTCTGGGAGTTTGCCAAATTTTAGTTCCTGAGGAACTGGGGTGCTTTAGATGTGAAGGTGGGATCAGCAAAACATCACCCATTAATAAAGAGATCATGTGTATCAGTAGGGTGGTGAGTAATCCCAAGGTTGCAACACAAGTGATAGGCCCACCATGATTTCCAAAGACTTAGGTTCCTTGCACATGGGCCTGTCTAGGAAAAGCGCATCCCTCCTAGTGTTCTGGGCCCTCATTCTTGAATGCACCGGGCCCTAAACACATGTATCACTGGGTGCAGGGTTCAGCCACATCCAGCTGCTGAAGTTTTCCACTTGAGGAAGCCAATGTGCATGCCAAAATGTGTTGGGCGGAGCTATGGGACATCATCATGCAAAACTGGAAGTTAAAGTAGGGTGTTTTTTCTGTGTATGTACCTATTTAGATCAATATCCATAGGGAAGTGGATAGAGTGATTGTTGACGAAGCACACAGTGGTGTATTCTGGACAAGAATCACACACACAAAGATGGAGGAGTTATGCACTTTATAATGAACTTTGCATTAATGGACTATATTTATGAACTTGTATGAGAACTATTCTGCGGACTTTTTTGGGGGCTGTATGGAGCACCTGAATAATATTTCCTAGAAAATTTGAGTATTCATATTATATACACAAGTTTATTCAGCTGATCACTGGGTTCATTGGACAGTGGTGGTCAGTGTAAGAATGCTGTTTACATTGGTGGTCAGTGTAAGAATGCCCCTTATATTGGCAGTCATTGGGAAGAATGATCCTTACATTGATTGTCAGTAGGAAGAATGTCCCCTTTACATTGGTGGTCAGTAAAAGAATGGTCCTTTTATTGGTGGTTATTGGGAAGAATGCTCCTTAAATTGATTGTCAGTAGGAAGAATGTCTCCTTTACATTGGTGGTCAGTAAAAGAATGGTCCTTTTATTGGTGGTTATTGGGAAGAATGGTCCTTACATTGATTGCCAGTGGTAAGAATGCCCCCTTTACATTGGTGGCCAGTGGAAGAATGGTCCTTTTTTTTGGCGGTCATTGGGAAGAATGCTCCTTACATTGTCAGTGGTAAGAATGTCCCCTTTACATTGGTGGTCAGTGGAAGAATGGTCCTTACATTGATGGTCAGTGGGAAGAATGTCCCCTTTACATTGGTGGTCAGTGAAAGAATGCACCTTGCATAGGTGGTCATTGGGAAGAATGCCCCTTACATTGATGGTCAGTGGGAAGAATGCTCCTTACATTGATGGTCAGTGGGAAGAATGTCCTCTTTACATTGGAGGTCAGTGGAAGAATGGTCCTTTCATTGGTATCCATTGGGAAGAATGGTCCTTACATTGGTGGTCAGTGGGAAGAATGCTTCTTACATTGATGGTCAGTGGGAAGAATTTCCCTTTACATTGGTGGTCAGTGGGGTCCTTACATTGGGGGTCATTGGGAAGAATGCTCCTTACATTGATGGTCAGTGGGAAGAATTTCCCCTTTACATTGGTGGTCAGTGGGAGAATGGCCCTTACATTGGGGGTCATTGGGAAGAATGCTCCTTCCATTGATGGTCAGTGGGAAGAATGTCCCCTTTACATTGTTGATCAGTGGAAGAATGGTCCTTTCATTAGTGGTCAGTGGAAGAATGGTCCTTTCATTGGTGGTCAGTGGAAGAATGGTCCATACATTGGTGGTCAGTGGGAAGAATGCTACTTACATTGATGGTCAGTAGGAAGAATTTCCCCTTTACATTGGTGGTCAGTGGGAGAATGGCCCTTTACATTGGGGGTCATTGGGAAGAATGTTCCTTCCATTGATGGTCAGTGGGAAAAATGTCCCCTTTACATTGTTGGTCAGTGGAAGAATGATCCTTTCATTGGTGGTCAGTGGAAGAATGGTCCTTTCATTGGTTGTCAGTGGGAAGAATGTCCCCTTTACATTGGTGGTCAGTAGAAGAATGTCCTTTCATAGGTTGTCAGTGAGAAGAATGCTCTTTACATTGAATGGTCAGTGGGAAGAATATCCCCTTTACATTGGTGGTCAGTGGCAAGAATGCTCCCCTTACAGTGTTGGTCATTGGGAAGAATGCCCCAGAATGCCACCCTTACAGACAGAGAAAAAGATCAATGGTATCATGCTGCTGGCTTTACCAAGTGGCATTGGACCTGAAACTACGTAGGCACCATCAGATGAAAGTCCAATCAACCACAGCTCAAGGAAACTCTAGTAACCTTTGCAGGAACTCTGGTGTTCATAGCTGAGAACGACTGGTCTAAACACTTAACCCTCAAACCTAACCCGGAAAATATCTATGACTAAATTAAACTCACCTATCCTGACCATAATTCCAATGAAAGTAATAAATAATAAAAAGAAGCCTTGTAATACCTGCTCTGTAGACAACATTGCTCAAGGATTCCATGGTGGTCAGTTAGGTGACAAAAAGTTTCGGTATTGTCAATTGGCTAGAGAAGTTTACCTTTACCAAAAAGCCCTAATCAAGCTACTTCTGGAATGGTGGACCTGCTGCTCGTCCAAAGTTCAGAATGTGAACATCTAATGAGCCACTTGTCCAGACAAGCTCTTCAGAATTTACAAGGACAAAATGAAAGGTTGATGACTTATTAGCTAATGATTATTGATTAGCTTAGAAGAGATGAACCAAGTGCTTATTATGTAAATGTACAATGAAGACAGTTGGTCTCCCGGGAATTGTGGGAGTTCTGAGCCAATTAACACAGTGTTGTGAAATCTCCTATCTTGGCTTCCAATCAATACCAGATATTCAAATCTTCCTGCAGCTTTATGAAAAAATATAGGACCAGACCCCCCTGTGAGGTGGGGAAGCTGAGATCCCATGTGCAGAGATGCCACCAGACATGTATTTCTCAAGAAAAGAAGTTTGACTCAACACTCTGGCACCTACTCAAAATTGACCTATCAGTGCTGGCTTAACTGACTCTTTAACCCAAGTCGAGTTTGACCCAACCCCCTTCCAAATTCTACCTACAAGTAAGCTTACAATCAAGATTCACTGTAGGTACAATGAATATCTCCTAAACGTGTACTGTTTAGGAGATGTTGACATCGGCAATAACCGATGAGGTCACACGCGCATGCGCAGTGACACTCTGCGTTTAGGGCGTACAGTATGCTGTGAAATGCAGATCGCTGTGCTGCAGCTCATGTGTACATGCGCAAGAGTGACGTCATCCTGTCCCCAGCCACCCAAACACCTGCAGCCCGTGAACCCGGAAGAAGACCAGGTGAAGATGGAAGTGTCTGGGAGCTGTGACAGCACTGCGTTGGAGGGCTCCGTCTGTCATAATGTGCCAGTATGTGATGCACACCAGTACATTATGACTTAAACCTGTAAAGGGCCTAATTTTTTTTGAATTTTTGTGGTGGTTTACTACCTCTTTAGGCTTCACTCTTTCCGCTGTTGTAAATAGCTTTTGTTCTAATTTACAGAGCTCAGTAGCTCAATATGAAGTTTACACATATGAATGGGTCAGAGCAGTAATTCCTCCCTTATTGTATGGATCTTCTAAGGTGACAAAGCCAGCCATGAAGCAGGTTGTCATCCGATCTCTTTTGAAAATCCCCCAGTGCTCTGGGAATCATTTATCATGTATGCAATATTTATATTAAAGTATGTACAGTGGGGATAGAAAGTTTGGGCACCCCAGCTAAAAATTTGTATTAATGTGCATAAAGAAGCCAAGGAAAGATGGAAAAATCTCCAAAAGGCATCAAATTACAGATTAGACATTCTTATAATATGTCAACAAAAGTTAGGATTTTATTTCCATCATTTACACTTTCAAAATAACAGAAAACAAAAAAATGGTGTCTGCAAAAGTTTGGGCACCCTGCAGAATTTATAGCATGCACTGCCCCCTTTGCGAAACTGAGACCTGCCAGTGTCATGGATTGTTCTCAGTCATCGTCTGGGAAGACCAGGTGATGTCAATCTCAAAGGTTTTAAATGCCCAGACTCATCTGACCTTGCCCCAACAATCAGCACCATGGGTTCTTCTAAGCAGTTGTCTAGAAAACTGAAACTGAAAATAGTTGACGCTCACAAAGCTGGAGAAGGCTATAAGAAGATAGCAAAGCGTTTTCAGATGTCAATATCCTCTGTTCGGAATGTAATTAAGAAATGGCAGTCATCAGGAACAGTGGAAGTAAAAGCAAGATCTGGAAGACCAAGAAATATATCAGACAGAACAGCTCCCAGGATTGTGAGAAAAACAATTCTAAACCCATGTTTGACTGCACGATTCCTCCAGAAAGATCTGGCAGACACTGGAGTTGTGGTACACTATTCCACTATAAAGAGATACTTGTACAAATATGGTCTTCATGGAAGAGTCATCAGAAGAAAACCTCTTCTACGTCCTCACCACAAAAATCATCGTTTGAACATTGCAAATGAACATATAGACAAGCCTGATGCATTTTGGAAACAAGTTCTGTGGACCGATGAGGTTAAAATTGAACTTTTTGGCCGGAATGAGCAAAGGTACGTTTGGAGAAGAAGGGGCACAGAATTTAATGAAAAGAACCTCTGTCCAACTGTTAAGCATGGGGTTGGATCAATCATGCTTTGGGGTTGTGTTGCAGCCAGTGGCACAGGGAACATCTCACGAGTAGAAGGAAAAATGGATTCAATAAAATTTCAGCAAATTTTGGATGGTAACTTGATGCCATCTGTGAAAAAGCTGAAGTTAAAGAGAGGATGGCTTCTACAAATGGATAATGATCCTAAACACACCTCGAAATCCACGGGGGATTACATCAAGAGGCGTAAACTGAAGGTTTTGCCATGGCTTCACAATCTCCTGACCTCAACATAATTGAAAATCTATGGATAGACCTTAAAAGAGCAGTGCGTGACAGACAGCCCAGAAATCTCAAAGAACTGGAAGACTTTTGCAAGGACGAATGGGCAAAGATACCTCAAACAAGAATTGAAAGACTCTTGGCTGGCTACAAAAAGCATTTACAAGCTGTGATACTTGCCAAAGGGGGCAGTACAAGATATTAACTCTGCAGGGTGCCCAAACTTTTGCAGACGCCATTTTTTTGTTTTCTGTTATTTTGAAAGTGTAAATGATGGAAATAAAATCTAACTTTTGTTGACATATTATAAGAATGTCTAATTTGTAATTTGATGCCTTTTGGAGATTTTTCCATCTTTCTTTGGCTTCTTTATGCACATTAATGTAAATTTGTAGCTGGGGTGCCCAAACTTTCGATCCCCACTGTATGTTCAAGTATATTTAAATAACAGATAAATGATTGCTTGAAGAATCATAATATGGTATAAAAAAGGTTAAAATTAAATCCATATAGTTTCTCTTTAGGCTAAATAAAGATAACATATATCACTCTTTGACATTTAAGCCTGCATATGTATAATAAATCAAGCCTGAACATTCAGACTCTTGCAAAAACCCATTTGTGACTGACATTTTTTAAAGGGATGGGACTATAAAGAGTACAACTGGATGTTTTGCCTTTTTTTTCTGGATCAACATTGGTAGAACAGTATTATTAATAGAATTGCCTGAATGTTCTGTTCCACCTATATGTAATTTTTCTGTTGTTGTATTGAACTTTATCATGTTACTATTGTTCTGTTGTATGCTGACATCTAATGGTAGTTTAGGGCCACTACAACTTGATTACTTATGTGATTTGGTATTTCCCTCTGTACTTCCCTCCCATTTAGTTAGATCAGTCCCAGCTAGACACTCCTTGTTTATTCTATGTTCCCTCAGTCATTGTTAGTTCTTCACAGAGACAGGACATAGGAATGTTCTTGTCTTTCTTACACATCAAGAAAGACTGGAAAAACATCCTTGGTACTAAATGTGTCTGAAGTAAAATTGCATTGAATTCAATGTGGATGGTGCCAAGTCAGCAAGTGATTAAACCGTCCACATATTTTGGGTCAATGGAGCATTTGAAACAAAAATTTGAACTCAGAAGACTCTGGTCTCTAGCTCACTAATGAGCATTGTTAGTACACAGAATTCCTACAAGCGGCAGAAGGTGGTGCGGTGAATGTGGCCCCAGCGCAGCCTGGTTGCTGAGAAATGTGCAGAGACACAGACCCATTTATCACAGGGAGATGGCTTTATGAATGGAGATGGTAAGTGAGGTTAACACGTTCCACTCTGCAGCTCCGCGAGAGTCGGCCCAGCTCATCCTGGATACATTTCACATTATTAATTCA